ATCTTTAAGTTCCATAGATATTCTAGGTATCGATTATTAGAGATCTTTAATAGCTATCAAAGGCATTGGCACAGATCTTCTATAGTGTTCCTACACATTGGAACTGATCTTCAGTAGTGGTCCTACACATTGGAACAGATCTTCAGTAGTGGTCCTAGTGTTCCTACATATTGGAACAGATCTTCAATAGTGGTTCTACACATTGTAACAGATCTTCTATAGTGGTCCTACACATTGGAACAGATCTTCAGTAGTGGTTCTACACATTGGAACAGATCTTCAGTAGTGGTCCTACACATTGGAACAGATCTTCAGTAGTGGTTCTACACATTGGAACAGATCTTCTATAGTGGTTCTACACATTGGAACAGATCTTCAGTAATGGTCCTATACATTGGAACAGATCTTCTATAGTGGTTCTACACATTGGAACAGCTCTTCAGTAGTGGTCCTACACATTAGAACAGATCTTCAGTAGTGTTCCTCACATTGTAACAGATCTTCAGTAGTAGTCCTACACATTGGAACGGATCTTCTATAGTGGTTTTACACATTGGAACAGATCGTCTATAGTGGTTCTACACATTGGAACAGATCTTCTATAGTGTTCCTACACATATTTAACAGATCTTCTATAGTGGTCCTACACATTGTAACAGATCTTCTATAGTGGTCCTACACATTGTAACAGATCTTCTATAGTGGTCCTACACATTGGAACAGATCTTCAGTAGTGGTCCTACACATTGTAACAGATCTTCTATAGTGGTTCTACACATTGGAACAGATCTTCTATAGTGGTTCTAAACATTGATACAGATCTTCTATAGTGGTTCTACACATTGGAACAGATCTTCTATAGTGTTCCTGCACATTGGAACAGATCTTCATTAGTGGTCCTAGTGGTTCTACACATTGGAACAGATCTTCTATAGTGGTCCTACACATTGGAACAGATCTTCAATAGTGGTCCTACACATTGGAACTGATCTTCAAGAAAATCTTAAATTTGGCACCGATCTTCAAGAAATATCTTTGAAAGACTTTCAATACAAATTGGTATAGTTCTTCTAAAGAGACTATAGGAGCCGGCACGGTATGCTAATGAGGTTGATAGACTCAGTATGGTTAGTTTACTATAATTGAGCTCAATTATCATCAAGAAATATCACTTAAGATAAGATCTTACACAGGTATACTACACGCTTGTACATTGTCCACGAACTTGTGCAGGCTTAGAGAAGTAGGTATAAGAACTACTGTGTATAGTTGGAGAGAGTACGTTTGACCCTGGGGCTACACAGGTCATGACCTCTGATGACAACATGTTGTGTGTGGTGTAATTTCTGTTGTGGAGCCTGCCCACACATTTCCTTCCCTTTACATTTAGTTACAGTTTAGGTAGACACATACTTCCTTCCTGGCCGCTATAGATACTTCTGCTGTTACGACGTTTACATCAAATTGTAGTCGGAGTAAAATGATAGTTTTACCCGGATATTAATATGCAAAATATTGATAAAAATAATTGGATTATGACGACTGTTATGATGCACTGGGGAGAATTATGTGCTCAGTTTATTTCCTAGATTTGTTTGATATTGACAAGTCATCCGTCTCCAGGGATCTTTAGACGTAGGATGTATTAGGTTGTGATGTAATGGACAAACTGGGGAAAAAATGGTCTGTGGAGATGTTCATTACTCGACAGATCAGAGGGTGAGGTGGATATCAGTCTTTCTGACGTAAAAGCCAAGGATTGTTTTGCACACACAGAATTAAACATTTATCGCCTCTGTAAAGAACGCATGAGTGAAATTTCATGCTCAGAGTGAAATTAAATCAGCATTGATTTGCGAATGTCATCATTTCGTCCAATTACAAGGATGGGGGACTTTCAATAGATGTTCTAAACTCTCGCACCGTAAACAGCATTGCAGAGCACTATTCCTTTGCTAGTGAGAGAGAACTCCTGATGTGTTTGCAGAGAAATATTTCTTGGAGATGATTACCACGAAAAATGACTGTGCTTGGGTACTAATGAGTTTGGATGTTACCAATATTAGTCCTTGTTTTACTGGTCTGACTGGTGAAGTACTGGTGTGGGGGCTCAGCTGACTCTGTCAGATCAAGAGGTATGGAACACTGATGGAATAAGGGGATGATGCGGAAACTTTTGTTGAGTAATGGTGAAATGAGCATGTGATGGGTAGAACAATGTAAGGTGGATGATACTGTGATCTTGTGAGGAGGTTATCATTGAACTGACGTGATCCTGATGTATTTCCCGGGCTAATATCTGTACTGAAGACATGACACTGGCTGTGTCGGCTATCGGAAAAAATGCCAAAACAAAGTATCTTTATGAGTGCCACTGGAGTGTTGACCCTATTCCTCAGGTAATTTTCCGGTATCCTAGGGTAAATATCACATAATTCTGAGGTATTCTAGTGTAAATATCAGGTATTTTTTCAGGTAAATATAACTTATTTCTTGGATAAATATCAGGTATTGCTGGTACATTATTGTTATTCCTAGTTCCAGTGATGGTGCTCTGTGTGTAAATTTCCAGCTTACCATTAATAAAGTGCACAAGGATGATTTCTTGAGAGATAGAAATTATCTCTGTTGATATAATGCTATGTTTAAAGACTTATCTGAATGTTGTGGGAAAACATTTGATAGGTTTTAAGGTTACATGATACACATGTTCAGATATGTTACCTAGGTAATGTGGTGGTACAAATATGTTACCTATGTAATGTGGTGGTACAAATATGTAACCTAGGTAATGTGGTGGCACAAATATGTTACCTAGGTTACGTGGTGGTACAAATATGTTTCCTAGGTAACGTGGTGGTACAAATATGTTACCTATGTAATGTGGTGGTACAAATATGTTACATAGGTTACATGGTGGTACAAATATGGTACCTAGGTTACGTGGTGGTACAAATATGTTACTTAGGTTACATGGTGGTACAAATATGGTACCTAGGTTACGTGGTGGTACAAATATGTTTCCTAGGTAACGTGGTGGTACAAATATGTTACTTAGGTTACATGGTGGTACAAATATGTTACCTAAGTAATGTGATGGTACAAATATTTTACCTAGGTAACGTGGTGGTACAAATATGTTACCTATGTTACATGGTGGTACAAATATGTTACTTAGGTTACATGGTGGTACAAATATGTTACCTAGGTTACGTGGTGGTACAAATATGTTACCTAGGTAACGTGGTGGTACAAATATGTTACCTAGGTAATGTGGTGGTTCAAATACATAACTTATGTTATGGGGAGTCTACCAAGGTACCAAGTATTATATAAAATATCCAGATTGATAATAATCAGCTGTGTATCGGCTGCAATCTGTCAGTCCTGTTTGTATTTGAGGTGTGTATACAAGCTAAGATAATTGTTACTGTAAACACCTGCCTCTATCTATTTACTGTATAAAGATGATAATTTTGATATACCTACAGATGTACATTAATCAATGCTGAGAGATAAGGTGTCTTGTGGTATATAGGTGTAGAAGTCGGAGCAGGCATATGTGTACTAGTGTTTGTGATAGAACATGTATATATATAGTGTGTAAGGATGTGTGTACTAGTGTTTATGTTAGGGCATGTATTTAGTGTGTAAGGATGTGTGTACTAGTGTTTATGTTACACATGTACTAGTATATAGTGTGTAAGGATGTGTGTACTAGTGTTTATGTTAGACATATGTACTAGTATATAGTGTGTAAGGATGTGTGTACTAGTGTTTATGTTAGGACATGTATATAGTGTGTAAGGATGTGTGTACTAGTGTTTATGTGAGGACATGTATCTATACATGTGTACTGTTCAGTAAGCTATCTTGTGTAACAGGTACATATGTGTACAGTATGTCAGTTAGTGGGACTTACAATAAGGTATGTCTATATAGGTAGAAAGTTATAGACGAAATGGCTTTGGTTGCGTGGGTTTGTTATGTCAGTAGTCCAATATAAGCCACTATTCACCACTGGAATGTGTCGGTGGTGGTTAGATAAAGATTCAACACCCACAATGAACTCCATGGAATGTGGTATTGTCCCGTGCTGTATCTGTATAGGGACTTGTTTCTCTGAAAAGTGTGACACCGATATTAAAGTCACCAGTGCATGACATGACGTGAAAGAGTTTTAGATGTACCACAGTGAAACCCGACACCACATAATTACAGAAATTAACATAAAACATGTAACCGACAGATTTGCCTGGTTGGGAGATATCTGATGCATATTCATGAATAAATATGATGTACTAGGGTTTCCATCGTCTGTATGGGAAGTATATATAGAATACTTAGGTATCCTCCATACATGCATTAACTCATTTCACCCCTGAAGACACATTTGAACTCTTCCAGATAAAAGGTTGGAATAGTTCATTATGAAATTCCAGGGGCTATGCCTCATTTTAACCCTTAAGACACATTTGAACTGTTCCAATTCAAGAGTTGGAACAGTTCATTATGAAATTTTAGGGGTGAATGAATTAAACTGTATTCACTGTGTAAGTCTTGATTGAATTTATACCTGTGTATTATATCATAGAGAGAGGAACCATGTATACACAAGTTTTCATTGAGTTCAGACATCTGTATATATAGATATACTTTAAGATTAGGTAATGAATACACGTCTCCATTTAAATACCATGACAGAATTATGTAATAAATATCAATTTATATACACTGGACATCTGTATGTGCATGCTATTATATTTTAGAGCTCATATCTATTTCTGAAATCTTAAAAGCAATGCCCTTTTTTCTGGTGCATTCAAGCTTTGAGTATAACAAAATGGCTCAAAGTTAAAAAATAAATAAAAATAGGTCAAGGCCCATAACTCATAATAAAATGTAAAACATATCTAAATACAAAGTGATTCTATTGAACCTGGTAAATACAATGTTTTCTGTCTACACCTAGTATATATATTGTTATTCTCTGTCAACAGCCTAACGGGAATGGTTACCCTGAAGGACATGGTCTGGTTACCATACGGATGATCCCCGATGAACAGGGGAGGTTCGGGTTCAATGTCAAGGTCAGTATGCTTTCAGTCTGACAAAACTTAACGAGATTTCAAGTTTGATATGAGCAAGATTTTTTTTCATTGATTGGAACATTGTTTAAATTGAAACTTGAAGTATAAGATCCGTTTCTGACTTGGAAGAGTTGATTTTGTATTGATTTGTATATTTCTTGTTGTTTTCCTTACAAAAAGTGTTTATGTCCAAGTAAGTCTTGGACAGAAATCTGTTAAGTAAGATTAATTTTACTTAAGCTTAGTATTCATTCACCCCTGGAATTCATAATGAACTATTCCAACCTTTGAATTGGAAGAGTTCAAATGTGTCTTTAGGGGTGAATGAGTAAAAAATAGCTGCAACTTTAACATAATTATATGAAGCCAATTGGTATACATTGACCCTTCTTTTACAGGGAGGGGCAGATCAGGGCATGCCCATCATTGTTTCCCGGGTCGCTCCCAGCACGCCGGCAGATCTGGCCATTCCTCGGCTCAACGAGGGGGACCAGGTTCTTGTGATCAATGGACGGGATGTTTCACAGCATACACACGAACAGGTACAAATACCATTAGTAAACCCTGAATAAGTCCGGAACCTGTATAAACCAGACCTTATCTAACCTTCACACAGTGGAATAATAAAGTTACAGATATATAACAAAATATGCTGTATTCAGGAACAACGAATATGACGGTGGTTAATTGGTAGTCATCTGGTTTGTGTGAAATTACAATTTGTTTGTTATGTTGCAGGTGGTCATGTTTATTCGCGCATCCAGAGAAACACATTCAGGGGAACTGGTGTTGATCGTTCGGCCCAACGGTAAGTCGGTCGATCTGGTGTGGCGAAAAATGCACACAAAGCAATCAAATCGTAATACCTTCCCAAAACATTTCCAACACTACTGTACTGGCAGAAGGCAAAGGAAATTCTTTTGAAAGAATTTGTTTAGAGATGAAAAGAGAAATTAAATTCCCATTTGAATAATGGCTGATTTGATCAAGAGAGCAACATTTGTTGGCCCAGTGTGCACTAAATGGCTAGCTATCATTGCGTACAGCTGCATTACTGTCTTTTACTCTACTGTATAAAAAGCATACTTCACAGTGTGAGGCGAAGTTTCTCAATGTTTTGGGGTTAACATATTTATCCAGCAATAAGCCCATGCCTGGTAATAAGCCCACCCATATCTATTGAGATCAGTAGAAATGCAAATGAAGGCTATATCCTTCTCCTCCTCAAGTAGACCCATTCCTCTACTTTATGTCAGATATTGAATGTTGGCCTCATCAGCTTATTGTAGAACAAATATGGTACTTAACTGTTGGTCAAGTTAAGGGCTATTTCTCTGTAAGTCCGGTTAAGGGCTATTTCTCTGTAAGTCCGGTTAAGGGCTATTTCTCTGTAAGTCCGGTTAAGGGCTATTTCTCTGTAAGTCCTGTTAAGGGCTATTTTTCTGTAAGTCAGGTTAAGGGCTATTTCTCTGTAAGTCAGGTTAAGGGCTATTTCTCTGTAAGTCAGGTTAAGGGCTATTTCTCTGTAACAACTGGTTAGTTTTACAGTAACTACTGTCCACGAATCTGTTCCGATATGTACGTGTAGTAAATACGATGTAATGGTAACATGTTTATGTAAAAATCCTTGCTTGGAAAATATGCAAAATAAGATTTAAAAAATAAATCCTGACTATTTAATGATTATAGCATTTTAAAATTGCTTTGATGATTTATGAAGAGAGAGTATCTTGAACTGTGTTATCCGTGAATGTTTTCAAGATTGAGTCAACATGAATAAATTTTAAATCACTTTGCATTTGTCAATTATACATCAAAGGATAGAGATTGTTCGTTTGTGAAGACCTTTAACAGGGTGACAGTGAAGGAAACATTCTTTACATATTCAGAAAAAAAGTAACACTTACTATCTTATTAGCATGAAATGCCATCTGACTGATTCAGGTCAGTAATGGGACAAAGTGTTACCTTACTGTAGTCTGGAGACTGGGGCAGGTGTTAGAGTTGAGATAGAGAACAGGGTTCAGGCAGGTATAGATGGGGATATATCGTAATATCATTGGGGGGAGGGGGAGTCTAGTAAGTGAGGATAAGTAACATTTTGGGAAGGGAGAGGGATGAACGAAGCTGTTAAAAAAGTTGTAAGGGCCCAGCCAGCACCTTAATTATTTAATTTTTGATCGATTGATAAAGACGTCCCCAGTGCTAAGTTTTGGGACATGAATCAAGACTTTGGTTTGCCCCGAGATACCAGTGGCGACACAGTGACTTGAGAAGTACTCATTTAAAAAACAACTGTACTGTTTACCTGTGTGGATTTGTTTGGGGGTATACCCCGGCTCAGCAGTTAATTGGATTTCATAATCTGTGGAATTATGGGAAGGCGTTGGAGCGTTGATGGGTTTTTCGGGTCTGTCACTGAGGTAGTCGCGTGCGTAATCCTATGATTTTGAAAGCAGCCCACGACTAATCGCCAGTGTACTCTGTGACCTGATCTGATAACTCAAACTTTACTATAAATCGATGTGTTAATGTACTGCACTGAAATGAAAAGAATTTCCAGTCAAAGAATTTGGAGTATTTATATAGAAATAATGACTGAGGTTTAGACAGGCTTTAGTGGTCTGTTACAATTTTTACCTTCTAAATTATCAGCAACATTTGTAATGAACTACAACTAATTTTATGATATGGCCCTTTCAGAAATGAACCTTTTCATATATTTTTCAGGCAATTGATGATGAAAATTGTTTAATAGGCCACTGAAGTTATATAGGGATGAAAGAAATAGGACATTTTGTAAAGTATTTATGATGTAGGTTATTTCATTCATTCATGACTAAACAAAAAATTGTCAGTCAATAAATGTTATATTTTTGACATTTCAAATAGCAACAGGATTTTCTGAGCAAGTCATATCCTGATTCAGTTTTGATTGAAAATGGATATAAATTAAAGCATTCTCCAAAAATGTATATATTGAGAAGTAAACATGCTCTGTCCTTATAACTGATCTTTTAAAAAAGGTCAAAATTAAGAAGAAAAAAATTGTTTTAAACTTTCATGCTATTTTTTATTTACATTCAAATACAAAGCCAATGCTACAGTCAGTTAAATATAAACTGTTTTATCAATCTCTGTTAGCTGTCATATAACAATGAGCTTTTATTCTTTGGTGTTTCTATATTAGTTATGTATGATCTTGAATTGGTAAGTTAATCATCTTTAAAACAAATATTGATTTAGCTTTTATCAGTAGATTTTTAATCCCAGCACCTAATTAGTTTAACTTAATTATAGTAATTAAAGAAATCTTATTGTGATTAAGCTATATAATGAAGCGGAACAGCTGATTGCAGGAAATATTCGCCTGTACCAGGACATCCTTAGGATGTTAGCCTTTCCTGTCGGCCATTGACTAATCTCACTTAATCGTTCCATGAACATGGATATAATGACCACTTACAGCTTGTTGTAGTCTAGTGCAAAGATTTAGCATCATGTTCCGTAAATTGGCTAGCTTTTGTAAGTATTCAGTGTTACTTTTTGAGTGTTTCATTCCTTGTTTATGTCCTGTTGCAGCAGAACATGATCCTTTAAACTTGGGATGTATTTATCTGTCAATTTTTCTCATCCATGTTCGTTAATTAACAAAAGAAAATTCCTTTAGTTTTGTCCTTGGAAAGCATTGCTAGAGTTAAGAACACTTTTGTAATTTAGGAACAATTTAGTTAAGGAGTTTTATAGAGTTATAAGAAATATTTCTGACACTTGGACCAGGATACCAAAGCATATTATAAGGATCAGAATACCATTGCATTTTGTATAGTGTATAATGAATGCCATTGAATGTTGTTTTCAACTCCAGTTCTCGATTTTTGGGATACAATAAATCTGAATTCTACATGACAGGAAAATTTGTATTACTAAGATTAAGATTAAGATTAAGATTAGAATGGTAAAACATCAGTTCAGCTCGGCACAACTATGTCTTTTTCCACATATACATGAAAATAACCCTTTACATAATCGGAGCTGTGTTTAGTTTTAAATGTTTGTGATAAACCAGGAGACAGGAAGTTGATAACACTACGAGATAAACAATGTTTACCAGGTCTGACTTTATTGGTGCTATATGGATATGACTTCCTGCTGCCAACCATCCGAAAGATGTATTAAGTCCATAAACACTTTCTCTCTCCTTTGTAAGGAAAGGTGGTTGTTGTTAGCACCCCGCAGTGCTATTAGGGAAGGGGGTTCAAAACATCAGAATTATAAACTCTGTCCACTTCCTGTTTTTTCATTGAAGCTCTAGAGAATTTGTCGCCACTAGATAAGGTTACTTACGTCTTAAGGTGAGACCTTTCATCTTAAACTGTTTACGACCCTGCAAACATTTTTGTGTGATGTGAATAAATGTTTGAGAAATATTTTCCACTGGGTCTGGTCTGAAGTAGTGTACATATCAATTATGCCGATCAACTTCATCATTCCTTCTCGGATTACTGTAATTAATAAAGTGACGTTCATTCAATTAAACTAGGCTACCATTTACAAATACCGTAGTTAATACCCATATTTGGTCATCACAACAGGATGTACTGTGGTATTTTTTGGTGACTGTGTGCCTGTCCGTCTGTCTTATATATGTAACATCTAGTCAAAAGCGAAACTCCCATCTCAAACTTCTTGACAAAGTTGATGAAATTTTAAAAAATTGTCATAGACTATTTGAAAAAACGCCTCTGAAAGATTACATTTGTCTGTAAACAATATGAAGGCAATTAAGTTTTTCACCCCTGAAATTTTATTATGAACTATTCCAACCTATGATTTGGAAGAGTTCAAATGTGTCTTCAGGGGTGAATGAGTTAACTCTGAAACCATCAACCAACATCGTGACTTATGTGTTTCTGTGGTCTGTTACAGTTTATGTGAGTGAGGACACACCTGAGGAGCACTACTTTGAGTACCTACCTGAGTCCCATGTGATCACGACGACGGCGGGTGCCAATGCCCTGGAGGCCTCTTTAGTGCTGCTGCAGGAAAGTCTGGAGGGAGGTGCCGCCCTCGCTCAATTTGAGGTTAGTTCTCTGACCAAATCTCCGGTATCTGACTGTGATTTCTGTCTCCTATCCTAAAGAGTTCTACACATAGAAACCTATGAAATATATTTTACAGATGGTAGTTTGACCTCCTCTATCCACTTGATAATACTCTTACATAATTTGATTTTTTACATTTTTGAAGGGAGATAACTCAAACAGTAATAGGTATATAAATTATGTGTGAGGTAGCATGCATCCTTAATGCCAGGTCACTGATCTCTTCCAAAGTGACATTTCATCATGATTTCAAAAAAGAATAGTGTTAAATGAAGATTTTGCTTTGTCCACAGCAACTGTACAGAAAAAAGCCAGGGATGACGATGAACGCAGCTAGGTTGGAGGCAAACATTCCTAAAAACAGATACAGAGATATCTCACCTTGTAAGTGACAATTATTCCCGTGATAAAATTCAGAGATCTCACCTTGTAAGTGACAATTATTCCCATGATAAGATTCAGAGATCTCACCTTGTAAGTGACAATTATTCCCGTGATAAGATAAAGAGATCTCACCTTGTAAGTGACAATTATTCCCGTGATAAGATTCAGAGATCTCACCTTGTAAGTGACAATTATTCCCGTGATAAGATAAAGAGATCTCACCTTGTAAGTGACAATTATTCCTGTGATATGATTCGGAGATCTTACCTTGTTTGAAGACTTTGTTGTAAGGAGAGGTTGATCAATATATAAATGGGTTCATTTCCTGTTTCAATTCAATGGTTTTATTTTATTTTCCAGATGATCAAACCAGAGTGATATTAAAATCGGGAGATGAATATATCAATGCCAATTACGTAAATGTGAGTACATATATAGTTAACATATTATGAGTATAAATGTTGAAACAAGGAACATACACACTGTAAAACCAGACAGTGGTAAAACTAACAAAGAGCCCTACCAGGCTTAAATCAGTTTGTCATCAAAAGCAATGTGTTTTATAGAACAACGATTAAATTGCTAAAATATGAAATGCTTAAAGAACTAATTCTGTCTTTGAGACCACTTGTCTATAACTACAGTCAAACCTGCCTTAGAGACCACCTGTCTATATCTACAGTCATACCTGCCTTAGAGACCACCTGTCTATAACTACAGTCAAACCTGCCATAGTGACCACCTGTCTAATAATATAACTAGTCAAACCTGCCTTAGAGACCACCTGTCTATATATAGTCATACCTGCCTTAGAGACCACCTGTCTATATATAGTCAAACCTGCCTGAAAGACCACCTGTCTATATATATAGTCAAACCTGCCCTAGAGACCACCTGTCTATATATACAGTCAAACCTGTCTTAGAGACCACCTGTCTATATATACAGTTAAACCTGCCCTAGAGACCACCTGTCTATATCTAGTCATACCTGCCTTAGAGACCCCCTGTCTATAACTAGTCATACCTGCCTTAGAGACCACCTGTCTATATATACATTTAAACCTGCCCTAGAGACCACCTGTACATATACAGTCAAACCTGCCTTAGAGACCACCTGTCTATATCTACAGTCAAACCTGCCCTAGAGACCACCCGTCTATATCTAGTCATACCTGCCTTAGAGACCACCTGTCTATAACTAGTCATACCTGCCTTAGAGACCACCTGTCTATATATACAGTTAAACCTGCCCTAGAGACCACCTGTCTATATATAGTCAAACCTGCCCTAGAGACCACCTGTCTATATCTAGTCATACCTGCCTTAGAGACCACCTGTCTATAACTAGTCATACCTGCCTTAGAGACCACCTGTCTATATAAACAGTCAAACCTGCCCTAGAGACCACCTGTCTATATATACAGTCAAACCTGTCGTAGAGACCACCTGTCTATATATATAGTCAAACCTGCCCCAGAGACCACCTGTCTTTATATACAGTCAAACCTGCCTTAGAGACCCCCTGTCTATATCTAGTCATACCTGCCTTAGAGACCACCTGTCTATAACTACAGTCATACCTGCCTTAGAGACCACCTGTCTATATATAGTCAAACCTGCCCCAGAGACCACCTGTCTTTATATACAGTCAAACCTGCCTTAGAGACCACCTGTCTATATATACAGTCAACCCTGCCTTAGAGACCCCCTGTCTATATATACAGTCAAACCTGCCTTAGAGACCACCTGTCTATATATACAGTCAAACCTGCCTGAGAGACCACATGTTAATATATAACTTTATCAAACCTGACTTTGGCCTGCCTTGTATTGACAGATGGAGATCCCTGGTTCGGGGATAGTAAATAGGTACATCGCGGCGCAGGGCCCACTGCCAAACACGTGTGTGGACTTCTGGCAGATGGTATGGGAGCAACACTCCTCACTCGTTGTCATGCTCACCACCAAGATAGAACGAGGAAGGGTGAGTGACTCTTTGGTCAAGAAAAAACTGACCACCATGTCTGGTTCACAATATACTTACTGTCATGTTTGGACAACAATGAACACTGACCGGTGAACAATTTACTGTACAAGTGGAAATTGTCACAGTGTGGAAATGCTTGCATTTTTGGCATCAAGTGCGGGGGAAACATATATCGTATATAAATAGATTTCAGAATTATTCCAGCACGAAAGGTTCACACCCAAATGAATTTGAAGACTTACTTACAGCAGGAACATTTCCACATGCAAGAATTTCCACTTTTACTGTACTGTGTTATTAACTTATTTACCCCTGAAATTTCATAATGAACTATTCCAACCTTTGATCTGGAAGAGTTCAAATGTGTCTTCAGGGTTGAATGAGTTAATGTCCTTAAGTCTGATGGTTAAATTAGAAAATGGTATTCCAATGTAGTCACTCCTAGTCTTCGACACTGATTTATTCAAATGGTTTTTATTTTCCGTTTCAAATAAGCAGATTGAGATTGTTTACTTAGACAAGAATGTTACATCAAGAAAAACAATTTTACACCTATTTATTTTTTGTTTTCCATACACACACTTGTGAGAATTAATTACCACATAATATTGATGTAAGAGTGTTTGATTGACTTTATGACACTGATTGACCTTTTGACCTTGATTGACCTTATAATGTGCCTTTACAGGTGAAGTGTCACCAATACTGGCCCGACCTCTACGAGACGGTGGATTACGGCGAGCTGCAAATCACCTGTGTCAAGGAAGAGGACACAACGTCATTCGCTTTCCGCGAGTTTAACCTCACACATTTATCAGTGAGTTACCTCCCCTTGATTTCCTATTGCTAACACTTTGCCACGACAAAAATAGACCTTCCTATTAATCAAGCTTACCTTCAAGATGTTAAGTTAACTGGTTTAAAATTTGCAAAAATTTTAATTTTCTTTAACCCTTCCACCACTGTAGACCATAATGGACTCATCCAGATGGATGTATGGTAGAGTCTACTCAAGTTTGAATTTGAATTTTGAATTCTGTGATTTAAAAAAAAAAATGTGATACTGTGTAACTTATAAATGCCAAGAATATCGATGGTATATTCAAAGGAGCAATTCAGTCTAATTAATAGTTTGTATGTTGAGCTGTGATTTTCATATGTTGCTGTGATCCTAAATATTGTTTGGTTGATCAGTCCTACTATTTCCTCCTGCTCACCACTGATTTCTAATTTGCAGACAAATGAAGAGAGACACATATCTCACATGCAATATATAGCGTGGCCAGATCATGGCGTTCCCGATGATCCTGCAGATTTCCTAGATTTTGTAGGCAAGGTTCGACAGAAGCGTACTGGGATGGTAGAACCTACAATAGTTCACTGTAGGTAAGTAAACGATATCTCAAGCAAATCTGGGGCCTGCTCCTTTATACAGAACAACCAGTTTGTCCGTTTTTAAATGTAACATTTTCAGGTATACATTCTTGTGGACCTTCATATGTTTATTGAGGCCTGACAAGAATTGGTCTTTCTTGTTAAAGGGAGGTTGTGTCCTTCTTGTAAAAGGGAGGTTGTGTCCTTCTTGTAAAAGGGAGGTATTGTCCTTCTTGTAAAAGGGAGGTTGTGTCCTTCTTGTTAAAGGGAGGGTGTGTCACTCTTGTTAAAGGGAGGAGTGTCATTCTTGTTAAAGGGAGGTTGTGTCACTCTTGTTAAAGGGAGGTGTGTCATTCTTTTTAACGGGAGGTGTGTCATTCTTGTTAAACCTAGTTCGTAGGTCTCTTGTTAAAGGGAGGTGTGTCATTCTTTTTAACGGGAGGTGTGTCATTCTTGTTAAAGGGAGGGTGTGTCACTCTTGTTAAAGGGGGGTGTGTCATTCTTGTTAAAGGGAGGTGTGTCATTCTTGTTTAGCAGCATTTATAACAATTATGTTTTAAGGAGTTATATTCATATTGTTTTAGCCTGTTTTCTATCAAATTTTCAGGAAGGTTATATCAATCTGATACCAATCTTGTTTAAGGGGAGTAGCTTCCATCTGAAAAAGTTATGCCATTCTTCAGTGGTCTTAATTTATAAAAGGATGGAATGTAAGGTTGTATTTTTTGAAAAAATAAAAAGATGATAAGAAATATTAAAATCATTCATGTGTATCGAGGGGGGAGAAAAAAATTAAAATGATAACGATGTATAATATTGTTTATTTCAGTGCTGGGATAGGGCGGACAGGGGTCCTAATCACCATGGAGACCGCCATGTGTCTGATCGAGTCTAACCAGCCAGTATATCCTCTGTCTATAGTACGACAAATGCGAGACCAGCGTGCTATGCTGATACAAACACCTGTAAGTGGATGACAGCACAACCTGGAAACATGCCTCTTTAAATCATCATTTACAATAATGAAGAGCATTGCAAATTCTCATTTTGTCATTATAAATCTCTTACTGTATATCTGGAAATTTTGGCCACAAATATTATTACACAACATCCCCTAGTGTTTATAAGTGAAGGATGAAGGGCCAAAGTTTGACTGCAAAAAGTTTCTTATTGTACAGTTTGAAAAAATCAGATTTAAGAGTATTTGTGTTGGTAACTAATTCACCCCTGAAATTTCATAACGAACTATTCCAACCTTTGAGTTGGAAGAGTTCAAATGTGTCATCAGGGGTGAATGAGTTAATGTTAAAAATCAATATTTCGTACCAGGCTTTGACCCGGAAGACTAAAAATAAATTTCAGAACTTTCATCTAAAGGTGAAGGTCATTACAGTGCTCTATTTCTAAAACTAGACAATCTAATAAAAAAAATATAACTGCTTTGTAAAGTCAAGGCCATTGGGTACAAAAAAAAGGTAACACAAAAAATAATGCGTAATTACTACCACAGACTAAAAAATCAACTTGGAAATGTAAATATTGCTGTTTGGAATGTTAATCTTTATTTCTTTAAAATGTGTTTATTATCAGTATCTTTGATAATTTTGGGTTTAAATGGGACTCGTTCCAGACCTGATCAATGCTTATGTAAAGTAAAATGTTTGTGTTGTTTATATTTTCAGAGTCAGTACAAGTTTGTCTGTGAGGCAATCTTAAAAGTAAGTCATGGTAAGTAATGTGATTTATTATTTGTTTCTAAGTAAAACCATTGTTATCAGCCTATATATAATAATAATAATAATTTGTGGTTCTTATATACCGCTTTATCACAACCTAGTTCGTAGGTCGTCTCAAAGCCGTTCACAAATTATTATCCGTGGTTTTAGTGCCTTTGCAACCAACCAATATCGTTTTTAACTCCCCGGGGAGCATATATATACAGCCGGTGCTGCCATTTCAGCGCTCACAGCTAGCATTCTACAATTCTAGCACTGCCCAACCACGTACTCATTTACAGCTGAGTAGAGTGGAATAAAAGGAGTAAAGTCTCTTGTTCAAGGATATAACACAGTGCTGTGCCTTGACTCGAACCCGAAACCCTTCGGTCACAAGCCCGACCTCCTACCACTAGACTACCGTGCCTCCTAAATCAGTAATGCTGTAGTCTGAGTAGAAAACATTCCAAAGTTTGTTCTCAACAAAAACAGGAATTGGAAACTGATTTTAAGAGCTTTCAAAAACCTCTGTTAACTTTGTTAGGTAAAGAGTGTAAATGGCCGTGTCTAGACTCTAAAGCACTGAAAACAACTCACTAAGCCACAGTGTGCCGAATCAGTAAAGTCAGCTGACATTTCGCCCAATTGTGCTCTAATACTGCAGGCAGTCAGGGTTGGGTAACATGATCACCCTTTCTGCCCCTTATTGGATGTTAAAATTGGGTCATAAAGATGACTTAGCTGGTGGCCCCTTTCGTCTCTCTTCATCGAAACCCCTTCCCTCCTAACCCAGATGGTATCATCCTTGTTCATAATCATTTAATTCATGGGTAAATTGCTTGGATATGTCAAATTCTTTAAGAAAAAACAACTGGTGTAGGGTTGATTTGATGTACAAAATGGATTACAAATACAAAACATTTTACTTATCTCTAAACTGTGTCTGTATTCATAGACAAAGGTGGTGACACTGTACATTTATCGTAATGGTATCTTGTTTAATGTTTCAGACCAGCTAGTTAAACCAATGGAGGACTACCAGCGGTGAAAGTGACCGACATGGCGGGCCTCCCCGCTCTAACTTACCATATCATCATCCCGCATGTGGGCCGCGGTGGCTCTGTGTCACACATATCCACAGACAAGGTGCCATCCATCTCTTATCATCATCTATGTGTGTCCTTGTTTGAGGTCGAAGGCCTCGCATGTGAAGGACGTCCAATGTGTCACGGCCATCGTTGCACACTGCCACGATCATTCTCTGAACCTCAGTGCTTCGTGTCACAGACGGTCGTCCTTTGTACAGAGAAACGGCTCTTCTCTGATTTCATTCCGTCTGTCTTTGGCAGTGGTCATCGTCAGTGTGTATCAAAATGTTGTCCCGATAACCGGGAAATCTCCAACCATCTCTATACTGCTGGATCTGATAACATTGTGCGCTCATACTGAGGTGTACCAAAGAGAGAATGAAAGCAGTGATCTTTTATAAGTTCACCGGCTGTCGACAGGACGCATGCTAGCATCAACTGATGTGCGAAATTTCACCTCAATCAAAGTGTGTTGAACAAACAATGAAAGGTTTAACATTGTAATGCACTGAAGACTATGGTGTTGGTGAAGCAGTGGAGCTGGTATTCTCCCTGTGTTGTGGATTCAGCTTGCAACGAGCATTACGTTGACTTTAAATCCAATCATAGCATGTGGATCTGATCTCCACCTGATCATGTTTAAAATCAAACTCGTCATCCAACGAGATGGGGATACCTACCGTGTAAGGCTGGTCTCTTATGGTGCATGGAGCGCGATTATTTATGAGAATTGGATATTTAAGATTTAAAGGGAGGTGGAGATAACCCAATGATTGATATCAGTATGTTTACATGTATGTCAAAAGTCATACCTGTTGGTGAGTATCAGCTTGTAAAGGGAAGTAACTCTCCACAGTGTTTTGATTAATCAGCCAGCTGTTTTGTTGACCTCACTGAGGATCTTGCGATCTGAATTTTAAATGAGGTCACTGACACACGAATCATATTTTAAAGCAATGAAGATGCTGCAGTGACTCGTCTTTTTATGTTGCCATGGTAACCCAAATCTATTTTAACAATTGTCATACTACAAAATTATTTGAAGTTATATTTATGAATGTATATGTTTTCAATTTTACTAAAAGAATGCATGTGTAATAGATATCATTTAATATTTGAAAGAAATAACAAAATCAGTGCTTCGTACTTGATGATACTCAGAACCCTTATTGCTAGTCTGCAATTTAACAATTTAGATTTATTTTCATTCATCATACATCTAACTTAAAAATCTTTTATTTTCACTGAATGGTAAGTAAATATTTTCAGGTGTTTTACTTTGATTGTTTCAGAGATTGTTTATGATAAAGAATATTTGAAATTCTAAACCTTCAAGAGTTTTTGATTTTTTTTCTTAAAAATTATTTAAGTCACTATTAAACTATAAGTGCATAGAAGCATAGACACAACCAAAGCTTGTGTTATGTTTTTGCATAGTTAATTAGGTAAAACACTGATTCAAAATGAAATTCATCCTCAATTCTTGAAAATGAAGTATCTAGTTTTATAGATTTTCAACAAGTATTACATAGGGTTTACCTCGGTGGTATGGTTAAATACAATGTGATTTGTCATCAAAGTCATATCATTTTTATTTCAACATTTGAGAACTTAACTCATTCACCCCTGAAGACACATTTGAACTCTTCCAATTCAAAGGTTGGAATAGTCCATTATGAAAATTCAGGGGTGAATGAGTTAATATGATTTACAAGTTCCTGTGGTAAGGTTAACATGTTTTATCAAACATTTTATATTACAGTAAGTTATTTTGAAGATGTTCTGTGAAGAAGTTGCGTGAAATATCATGTTCAGTTGGTATTTTGATTGTGCAACTTCAATGTGTATGCTTCATATCGAATGAGAGGTTACATGTGAGAAATGGAGTGTGCTGCTTAAAAACCTATATGTTCTGGTAACCGGCATTTTATTTTAAAAGCATGTCTGATATGCCAAATGTCTGACATTTTTTTCTGTGAGAGTATGCAAGAAAATCATGTGTAAAATTAGATAGATAATAACTAGGGCTGCAACGATATATTGCGATATTTTGAATGCGGTACAATACACAATGATTTTTGGGGAGGTTACAATACACCGACGATATTTTCAAGATTTTTTGTTTCTGAATTTAGTCGACTCGTATCAGTTCAAACATGGTCAGCGATAGCTCCAGCTCAGCATGCATGTCGAAAGACGGGAAGCGTGTGTCACTTTCAAGTCATGCTTATTTTGGACCAAGTCTATTTCAAGTTGTAATATGGCCATTAAAAGTTAGCAACCTATCTTTTCTCTTTGCTCCTACTGTTATATATGTATCGTTGCAGCCCTAATGATAACTCATGTACATCTACAACATTTATCACTGGAGGTTTTTAATTTGGGCATCACTTCTAGCTTATTAAAAGAGTTTTATTTCCTTTATGCATATATCATATGCATGAAATCTTTCAAGTTTTTGTTTTTACAAACTACGAAGAATATTTCTTGGCCATTAAGTGGTGATCCTTCTCTTCGTAATATTTTATGATAAATTATTAATTTTATTTAACAAGTTGATGTGACATTCTGTATTTATTTGGCAATATGCCCATGCCTGGTAATTAGCCCATCCGTATATTTTGCAATTAAGTATTAAAAGCCGACAAAATCCTATTTTCTTGTCCTGTAATAAGCCCACCCCCTACTTTGAATCAAGAGATTTTCTGTTGGCTCCCTGGGCTTATTGCAGGATATGTACGACACATGTTTGGGACAAAGTAACCAGATAAAAAGAATTGTATAAATTATTCACTCTACGATTCCATTACAGACTTGTGGATGCGAGATGTAATATTATAGATGTATGACAGCAGCATGCATGTTTGTGGAGACGGTTATCTGAGGGTGTCTTTCCTATATATATATGGATGTATATATAGTCTTTGTGACAAATTATGTTCTATGTGTACATAGTGTATGAAAGGAATATAAGTAATGAAACCATAGTAAATTAATATTGATTGTACGAAATATGAGCCATTCATGTTAACGTACACACATACCAGGCAATATCAAACTTGATTAAAATCTTTCCCAAGTAAATCCTTGACCTCTGTTGTGTTTTCTGTTATATTGACGTCGACCACTATCAGGTATTGCTATAAATATACAGTCAATCTTCCATGTATTGCCACTCATTTCTCACTTTGCATCCAAACCTTGATATACTGTAAACCGGGAACCTTTCACCCAGTCACATTTTCACCCTTTGCCGATAAAATTCATGTTTGCCTTGTGTTAATTTCACACTTCAGATGTTATTACTAAACATTGTATGTTGAGTTCTAATATTCGCTGTCATGATAAATTCGCCATCAATAGGGGAGGGCGAAAAAGGCAAAATTAAACATGTTGCTGAATATCAGCTTGTAAAGGGAAGTAACTCTCCACAGTGACCTCACTGAGGATCTTGCGATCTGAATTTTAATTGAGGTCACTGACACACAAATCATATCTTATCTGCGAAAATTTCCCTATATACAGTTATGCCCCTCCTGTATTATTACCGGGTATTGACTAATAGAATCTTTGCCGAGTGTTTGGCAACTTAAGAATCTTTCCCCGAGGGTTGAGATTCCCCTATCTCACCCACAAGGGGGTGAATGATTCTTTTTCTCTTCCCCTGTTCTACCATTGTGTATCATATACACAATGTAATGATAACGTTACATGCTAAATTCAGGGTTGACGTGTCGTTGATGGATTGTTGACGTGACGTCGTGCCATTGTTATGAAAAGGGGAATCCCCCCGTCTCAACCCTAGGGTGAGACAAGGAAATCTCACACCGGTAAAAGTGCGGATACACCTGTCCAGGGTAAGAGAAATCTTGATATAATCTAGTACAGAGTTGGTAGCATACGGCCATAATTCCCAGTCTAACAAACAACACGTCATCAATAACATTACAACAGGTTTATTTAATAACAATAACAAGTTTATAATAAAACCGCCTATGTCCTCTTGGGTCTACTCCTCCCCCTTTTAACAGGTGAACCACCATCATTGACCTTTCCACTGTAGGCAGGAAGTGGGTTAACGACAAGCCTTGCAGATTTGCTTTTCTTTCTTGTCATGCCTTTGCCTGTAATGAAAACAGACTTCTTAAATAAGAACTTTATGCATGGCACAATGAGCAGTACAAATGACATCAGTTATATAAATAGTTGTTTAATGTTTTCGGCACATAAGAATCCCTGTCCCACTGCACTAGTTTTTCGTATGCTTGGTAACCTCCCCTGAATTTCATTTCAGATATAATTGTAGCACATTTAGCCAAGGACACTTAACGTTGACCAGACAACTTGATCAGTCTGTTAGAGTCGGTATAGTTAGTTCACATTTCAAATTCTGGTCTAGCCCCACTAAATTTTTACACTCAAACACTTGCTTATTATTATATTTATCTTTCTTATTTTCATCTTTAATATTTTTCATGAATGGACCTCAAGGTATGGTTTTCTTTTCAGAAATAGTTATCAAAGCTATCTTATGCCAGAAAGAAAAAAATATTGGCAATAAAGTGAGGACATTAAAATAAATTTGAGAGAAGAGGACTTTAAACAAGAAGCAAGAGGCTAGGGATTTCCTGTAAAATTGATACATCTTCATCTATTTTAACAATTCTGTGTCAACTTATTAACTATATTTAATGCTTGACTGATGACTGACTGTAAAACTATAATCACAAGTGTGATCAAGGCATGTTAAATTTGCACAAAGAATCGGATCAGACTTCATGCTGACAGTTCACGTTAAAAAGCTGTTAGAATGATAACGGGTTTCACAGGAAATGCACTTTTTATACACAGGGTGACTTATACTTGTTACCAAGGGCAAACGCAAACTAAAATGCCATTGCTTCCTTAGAAACAATAGCCGGAAAGATTGTCGCTGAGAAACATGTCAAAACCAGAGAAAAAAATTATAACTTTTTTTTTAATCTCAATTAAAAGCTTTTTAACTTGCACTGTCAGCTTTAATGAAGGCTTGATGGGGAATGTGACCTGACCTTTTTTCCTGCGCCCCCTCCTAGGGGCATTATCGTTCCCTGTAGGGATAAAGGGCATGTTCAGCAAGGACTTTTTGAGGGCTGTCACCTGCTCAGAATCTTTGTCATCAGGGTCCTCATCTACAGTGATAACAATAACGGGGTCATTTTTCAAACAAATATATATAATAATGCAGAGCTGGAGCTGTGACTCGTTATGTGGATACGGATAGAGTAGACTAAATTCAGAAAGGACAAAATCCTGAAAAAAACGCAGTTGTATCATGACCACCTGAACAAGAGTACCGCGGGGCGGAACAAAATACGCCCGTGGTTAGCTGATATGCTATAAAAATTCAAATACTGAAATGAACAAAGGGCAATTACTTTTGGAACAATTGTTGAATCAAAATTCTTTTAAGGGAAACACAACTTCATATCATGATTATAAAGTATACCAAGTTTCAAAGAGATCGGTCGAAAAATGTAGGAGGAAATTGCCGGACAAAAATCAACTACTAAAATAAACAAAGGGCAATAACTTTTGAAAAATATTGTTGAATCAAAATTCTTTTAAGGGAGACAACTTCATATCATGATTATAAAGTATACCAAGTTTCAGAGATCGGTCGAAAAATGTAGGAGGAGATCGCCGGACAAACAAAGTTTACGCCGGACGGACGGACATCGCCATACCATAATACTACCGTCAAATTTGACGGTCGTATAAAAATATTGTGTAGCGTACCGTTTTTAAAATATCGCGATATGTCGTCACACTATTTATATATTGTTGCAGACCTTGTACCTACAGATATACTACCAAGCCTCAAATTTTACGTCGGTGGTTATGGACACTGTTCAGACCTCTATATGAATACACTACACAAGAATGGAAGTGCTCATAGGGATATCATTACTGAGCTTTACCCCTTGAATGTAACGTGGCAATTTATGCAGCATTCAGTTTTGAAAGTTTTGTTCTACCAACACATCAATCTACAGTGTGCAATGCAACACATATCAATTCATTATAAATAAATCTTGTTTTAGCACAAAATGATCAACAATTCGATTGAAAATCTTAACAAGCAATGAAGTGATTTTATATTTTATCCTCCATTGTTTCCTTGAATTTAGGGTCTGTACACAATATCTGGTTAAAATGCTCATATTTATGGAGGTTTATAAAACAAGAGGCCCAGACAGCCTGTATCGCTCACCTGAGTATTTAAGCAGTCATAGCAAAATATTCTCATTAAATATTATCCTGTTCCACAAATAATTCACTCGCAAACTTTGTCGGCACCATCTGTTGAAACTACCAGCCAAATATTATCATATGATTCTAAGCTTTTTGGTTCTTCTTAAGAAGTTGTTTGACATATTTGACCACTGTGACCTTGAAAGTAGGTCAAGGTCAAGGTCATATTCATTCTCAAACTTGGTCAGGCTCCTACCAACAAAGCTGTCAGCCAAATATCATGACTCTAGGCCTATTCGATCTTCAGAAGAAGTTGTTGAAAGGAAAAGTTGACGGACAACCTATGGACGTTGCACCATCACATTAGCTCACTTGCCCTTCGGGTAGATGAGCTTATAATTATATATAATACTCAAAGGTTCAGTATGTAACTAAACTCCAGATTGCTTTGATTTGACTCATTATTATTATATCCTTCACCTTGAATAAGGCAACAGAACTGTGTATAGTACACAACATTCCATTTTGCCATCATGCTGAGGTCTATGTAATTCCATAAAATAGTGTTATTTAATAGTTTTGACCTTTGAAACTAAGCTGCAACCTTGACCTTGAGGAAAAAAATGTATGTGCATCGAAGTCCTGCTCACCTGACATTTCCTTCACAGTGACGGGAACATCGGGTACTGGAACATCGGGTACTGTTTCAGGATGTTTAGGTTCGTCACGCTCACTACCGGATGAAGCGGAAAACTTTCCTCGTCGAAAATGTCCACTCGGTACAGTGGCTTTAGCAAATGCCTTTTCTTTCAGTAGAAGTTTTTTAGAGGGTTTCTGAAACACATGATTTAACATTAGAAATTGATAAAAGCCTGTATATTATTAACACATCTACATTAACACTTCCCAAAACTACCTAACATAACCCTTCCTATACATTCCTTCATATTTCCTGGACCTATATTCCGTCTGCGTATTGCAGAGTTATCTTCTCTTGTGAGCAGGTATTGATTGTTGCGTCATTGGTTTGTGTGAGAAAATTACGTCGTTTTCTCAAAAATTGATATGACTAACTCTCACAAACAAATTACGTAACAATCAATACCTGCTCACAAGAGCAGATAACTCTCCAATACGCAAAGACGGAATAGCTAGTAGATGCAAGTTCTTATGTTTAATCTTCAATGATGCTTTTTTCGCAATGCCCCAATTTCAGAATATTTGTCAGCTTTTTCTTACAACATGCATTATACAAGCCTCCTTATTGAAAATTCTTAAAGTCTTATATCCTTGTCGCTAAAGTCTTAACTCGAGTCCTCTTGTATCGAATTATCTGATGAACATCAACTCCAATATCTGGCTTCGCCAACAGCAAATTAATTACTTAAATTTTCCTTGAGTTCATTATAATAAAATTGTTATATACCAGTATAAGAGTCCAACCTTTCCTAGTTCTCAACAGCTTCATAGGAAAGTTGCAAGTACTATTTAATAACTTTCACACCATTTAATAATTTGCTGATCTTCCTATAGTTGACATTTGTAAGCCACCTTGTGAGACTAAAAGGCTAGCTTGTACAAAATTCCAATACCAGTAAGGGATAGAACTTAACGTTTCATAATTTTTTAAATTTCAAAGATTAAACAAAATATTATGACTGCTGAAATCACTACAGCTAAAATGAGATTCATCAGTTTTGTATGAATTAATAAATGCCAAGTTTGTTTTAAACACAAACAGAAATTCAAAACTTCAAAACTTCAAAACAAACTTAGTATACATGACAGCTAAAATTAATAACCTGGATTATTATCTAAACGAGCAGTATTGAGTATTGAAATTTCAAGCATAAAACATTTAACTGACATTTCTAGATTACATTTTAAAACTGATATAAGAGAAAGTCAATATCAATAGTAGAACGAGGTGTCCTACCATATCTACATCCTCTTCGTCCTCATTGTCCATAGAGTCCGAGCTAAGGTCATCGCCCACATTTGCTGCAGCCTTCTTCTTAAATGCCTGTTTATAAACATTCATAAATAAAAAAACACATACACAGAATCAGTTAGTTCTAACAGAATACTGTATTTGGTGCAATCAGCACCTCTTCCCTTTTAAGTGCCCCTCCCCCCCCCCCCCCCCCCCCCCTTTATTTGGCATATATTGAAATGATAAAAAGTTTCCCTTTTCCAAATACACCCTTCATCCTACATATAGCTGGCTAGCTTTGGTTACCAAAATAGAGTACTAAACAATTTTAGCATTGTTGATGGTCAACAATCAACAATGAAATATACCTATCTCATCATCACAATAAGACTTACCCCGGCTTTACGTCTATCCTGATAGTAGATGATAGCTCTGTAAAAAAATCAAACACATATCTTTACTGACATGGAAAGTAACTTATCTCCTACTTACTTTCAAAACTCTGCGGCATTGTCAACTGACTTCATACTTAAAAATTATGTTTATCAAATGCTCAAATATGATTGAAAAACAAAGTGACGTACGTAGGCTACCTGGCACCAGATGCCAGTTTGTTTGATGACAGACTTACTTTGTGATGCCTGGCACCAGATCCTGTTTGATGACAGACTTACTTTTTGATGCCTGGCACCAGATCCTATTTGATGACAGACTTACTTTGTGATGCCTGGCACCAGATCTTGTTTGATGATGGACTTACTTTGTGATGCCTGGCACCAGATCTTGTTTGATGACATACTTACTTTGTGATGCCTGGCACCAGATCTTGTTTGATGACAGACTTGCTTTGTGATGCCTGGCACCAGATCTCGTTTGATGACGGACTTACTTTGTGATGCCTGGCACCAGATCCTGTTTGATGACAGACTTACTTTGTGATGACTAGCACCAGATCCTATTTGATGACTGACTTACTTTGTGATGCCTGGCACCAGATCCTGTTTGATGACAGACTTACTTTGTGATGCCTGGCACCAGATCCTGTTTGATGACAGACTTACTTTTTGATGCCTGGCACCAGATCCTATTTGATGACAGACTTACTTTGTGATGCCTGGCACCAGATCTTGTTTGATGACTGACAGAGATCGTGAAGGGTGCGTAGCCTGAGGTCCCTCCAGTGCAACCTTGATAGCTTCATAGTGCTGATGTACTGTTGCCATTTGCTGACAATGACCAATAAATACTCTTTTATTACACATTTATTATAAACATTCTGAGGGATGACAACATCAACATTGTTAGGTGGACAATATAGATTCATATTTCTGGTCATATTTATCAATCCAGAACCTCTAAAAATATAAATTCTAATAGCAGATTGCTTCCTGAACTTCCATCTCAATATATTGATAAATAATTTTCTAGTTTCGACACAAATTTCATGATAACATTTGTCTGTTTTGATGATAACATTTGTCTGTTTTGATGATAACATTTGTCTGGTTTGATGATAACATTTGTCTGTTTTGATGATAACATTTGCCTGTTTTGATGATAACATTTGTCTGTTTTGATGATAACATTTGTCTGTTTTGATAATAACATTTGTCTGTTTTGATGATAAAAAGATATCTGTTTGATCTTTGATATCTAATTGTAAAATGTATGTTAGATCAATGATCATGGAAATGGATCACAATCTTCTACCTACTGATTCATGTAAGAATAATAATGCATTATATAGATTAATTCATCTTGGTGTTTAAAATTGAATACTCTGATACTGTAGTAGTAGAAACTAACTTGTTTTAACAATCCTGTTCACCGTACAGAAAATGTCTGATCAGAAATGCTGTAGTATTTCACAGTGTGTGAGAATGTTACATGGTGTGTCAACATGCTTGCTTGCTCATTTTGCACATGGAAAATTCCACCTCACAAAAATAAAATTCCACCTCACAAAAATTCCACTTTTTTACATTATATCACGTGGAGCAATTATAAAATCTCACAACTAAGAGACAGGAGATTTTTCGCTATATACCCAAATGGACATTCTTAACCCTTTCACCCCTATGCAACTTTAGAAGACTCTCATGCATTGATCTGGATGAGTCTATTATGGTCTACAGTGGTGAAATGGTTTAAGTAATCTACGATTAAGGTTTATACCTCCAACATTTCAGTAGAGAAAAGATCAAACAGAACGCTCTGCTCCTCTTTGAATTCTTCAGATAACGACACTTCATCCTTGTTCTTGTCCACTGTATGTAGCACCTGTATTCAAACCACAAAGTACAGCCATCAGTCTTTTTCTTTATAATTCTTTTTTTCTTTTTTTTTATATGTAATTTTTCATTTTTTTCCAAGTTTATAACAATGCAAATATATCAAATTTCATAAAAAATATTACTCTTACACATAAATTCATTATACATTCAATAATACAAATAATGTAATCAACTTCAAAATATGGCCATGATCAATTATTTTCAGGTATGATTTCTAAGTAATTATGTTTATTTACATATATAATAAGGGCTGGTATATTAGACTTTGCAAACATTTTGTATCGAAACCAAATTAAACTAGAGCTAAATGCTGTCTGTTATATATAAACATTGTTCAGAAGTGATAGAAAAGAGCAGGTCGTAGATGCTTTGTTTTCTTTATCAAAGTCTGTTAGGACCCATCCAGCTGAAAACTGAAGAATGTGTATTCTTTTTTGGATATCCATCGAAAATTAATTTGAAAGTTGTTTTGTATCAGTCTTATAAGTATGCACTACTCATCATTTTGTTGTTTATGTGGATTATAGTCATAGATTTTCTTAACTAACCACGTAAACTAAATTCCCAATAAAATTTCTGTTTTTATACAACAGTGTAAAATAGCCACCAAGGCATATCATTGCTTTTGTTCAAACTTCCACATAAAGTATTTCTAGATCAAGAATATCATTGCTTTGTATGACATTTAGTACATGTTATCCAACTTTCAAGACAAATGATAATTAAAAAAAAATAGATAGACATTATTGGTTATACAGTCAGTTATAATTACTGACCTCCGATTTTAGAAAAGAGAAATACCAAATGACATGTTCATCATCAACAACAATGATTGAGTTGTTCACAGTTGTGAAATACTAGATGCTTCCTACAGACTCCACTGTGGAGAATTTCTCTTGACTTAAGGTCATTCAGTCTAGTAGGTAAACTAGAGGTCACAGGTTCGAATCTTAGAAGGGGCAATGAAAAATAATGACCTCTGTTTCAAGTGTTACTGACCTCAATTTGTTTGGCAGTAAATAAGAACGCATTTTGAAAGCGGAGTTTGTGAAAAACAAAGTCGACATCGAGATGTTGTTGACGTTGTGCCTCGCTTTGGAATTCTAACAGGTCAAGCCACATCGTGTTTGTTGTTCTGATCTGAAATATCAACAGTCCATATGTAACTCTTGGATCAACAGTCCATATGTGACTCTTTCATGCCCAAGGGTGCAGGGTAGGGACATTCTACCCAAGGGGTTTTCAAATAGGGTTTTTGAACAATATGAAAATTCCAAGGGTGGAATGTCCCTATCCCATATACCCCTTAGCACGAATGAGCATTTATTTCTCATTCCAATCACTAGAATTAACTCAGACACCTCCAAAACAAGGTGTCACAATTTCCACATTATCGTATCAAAACATTTGAATTTCATGACATCATGTCGTTCTTACCCCATTGTGACATCACCCTTGTAATATTAGGTGTAAAATAGAAATTTCTTACACCCCCTTTCTTACCCTGAATAGTTCTGTCATATTTTCACAGGAATGAGAGGAATGTCAATTTATAATAAAACAAACAGATCTACTCCTCACAGCTATCAGCTTAAGAATGTACATCTCAAACTAATATACCTACCACTCTAAGCACTGTCGCTATATACAACCCTACCAACTTCAGCTGGCATTCACATTAGCTATATATGGATGCATTAGACATCACCCACTTTCACAAACTCATTTTTTTTGTTGAACTTTCTAGCAAACCTATCACCCACAACTTAAAACATACTTGATATACAACATTTCAAACCTCACGACTCTGTATCATGTTAAAAAGGAGGAAAGATCAATGCTTTTTTATTGTTTTCTGTTGAATATATTTATATACCAATCAGAGATATTCCTGGAGGGGGCCACGGGGCCTTTGACCCCACAAAACTGACCTCTCTTCATGTTTCGAATTTCTTTTAATTTTACATACAATGGCTCCTCTTAATTTTGATATTGACTAAACATTGCTGTAAATGGCCCACTGCATCAAGAATGCTCATTTATCAATACACAATACATAGCTTCGACGTGACGTCACGGGACTTCCGGTTTATAGTTTGGTCGCCATATTGGATGGGTGAAGGTTGCCGCAAGTAGAGCGTGAAGTATAGATTTTATCGAGGTCATGGGTGTTCATTGTACGATCATTGGCTGTTCCAACGAGAGTGGGCGGTGTCAAGCTTCCTTCTTTCGACTTCCAGCTGTAATCACAAACCAGGGCGAGAAAACTGAAGAGTTGTCCACAAAAAGACGAAGACTATGGCTATCCAGGATCAGCAGGGCAGATCTAACCCAGAAGTCATACCCCTATGTTAGGGTGTGTTCAGAGCACTTTGTCAATGGTATGTACGTGAGCAACTGACAAATGATTTTCGTAATTTTGTTATTATTCTCAAAAATTTCACTTACAAAAAATGAC